GAGTATAGACTTAAAGTACAGAGAGTACAAAAGGAGAGGAGCCAGTGTCGCTACTTGATAGCAAACTACTCATGATGGGAGGAGTCTGCGTACTTCACCGGCGTGTTCAAAAAGAAAGGCAATCAAAATTTCATTTGTTACATGCATGAGGTCGCCAGCGCCGGTGGTGTAGTGGTAAGCGTGACTGCTGGGTCTGGGTTCAATCCCAGCCGAGGTCGGTGGGATTTTTCTGAGGCATAAAAATCTCTGGTCACGTCTTCCTTCGGAAAGGAAGTAAAGTCGATGGTCCCGGACCATGTGTGTTGAATGGGTGCGATATCCTACGCAGGTGTGGAAGCTTCCTTCCTGCACATTCGATTGCCGTCAATGGAAGGCAATCGATGTCCGTCGGTGATTGGCACTAGATTGCGGAACAGAGACCGACGTTAAATAAAGGAAAAGAAATTTATTGACAGATTTGGGCAAATTATGACCTGTTTCATGCTACTGGAAGGTATGCTGGTCACAAATGCCGTGCCAAACTGATTTCGTGCGCAAGTGATATGTAAACGCGAATAAACACGAGGTCCAGTGATTATAGCAAAGTTTGCCGTAAAGAAACCATCACAATTCAGGGCCACCACAACTTTCTACAAAAGAGTTGAGTTATAAAATTCACTTAATTCCAAAATAATATCCGAAACAACAAACTAGAAAATCGAACGCCCCCTCCAGAATTATCTAGGCCCCCTCTAGATTTTATATTATTTGAATTGTCGGTTTTAAAATCTAAAAAAAATCTAGAGGGAGCCTGGATCATTCTGGCTGGGGGCAGGCATCGTTGGCACCCCTATTAGCTACGCCAATGGGATTAAACCATAATTGGTGTACATGTCATATCACTTGTCCCTTGTTGTTTTTTCGTAGAAAATTGGTTTCGCTGACATCATAACACATTGTAGAAAGAAACATGTTCAACGTTTTTAGACCTTAACAAATTTTAAAAGAAAACAACATGGCATCTGTAGCATTTATCCAACGATCGATTTCATGGAATTCCAATACCCAAACATGTTCCGAAAAGCGTAATCCAATAGTCAATTTTTTCAGTTATTATTTGGGCACGAGTCGCTAATATAAACAATTTTTACAACGCAACTTCACCCAGCCATCGGTCGGAGGAAAACATATATGAAAACAATTGCAAAATATTGACTACCTCGGCAGCTCCAAAGTGTGAGAAAGTTTTCAAGTTTACAGTCGTTGTTGTTGGATCAGCAAAAAAGAAAAGACAAAAAAAAGCGAATGCCTTCTGTTTTCGATGCAATATGCAAAGGAACCAGTCCAAAAATGTAGAAAGACAACAAAATCTGCAAAATCATGCAAAGAAACACTCAAATCAAATCCGGTAGCTCTAAGGCCCCTTTCCAGATTCTATCACGATCCTGTCACATTTCGTGCTCGATCACGATGACCGTAGTATGCCTATCCACACTCATTATACGGGACTTGTCTCTAGTTCAGCAAGAAGCGGACATTCGAAACCAATTTCTCCGAGTAAGCAAAACAAGCATGATGCCACCGCGCGATAATTAATGTCGTTTTAATGCACACGCTGCTGCTGATGAAGATGACGGTGGCGGTCGGCGGTGAAGGCGGCCGAAGGCGATTTTACAAAGACGATGATGATGTCTTCTTCCCTCGACTGCCGGCGGCCAGTCCGCCGCATGGTAAAGACGCTGACAAAACATCGATCATCTTCTAACCGCAAGACGACTGGCCTGCCACGGTTGACGAAAGCGAAGACTTATGATCCAAGCTCGTGATTTATATTTAAGTAATCTAAACATGCTCGTTTGAGAAGGTTTAGTTTTTCATGATATGGTCTAGGTAGAGCTACCGTGTGAGTTTTTTTTTTCAGCGAGTCATGGTTGCGGGTGACGAGAGGATACGCGAAGGAAGACGGTGGACAGTGGGATATTTAAGAAAAACAAAAGTCATTTAATCAATTGGATTTATACATCAAATGATATTTTTTATGAGGAATTGAATGCTTAGGTGGTTGTTTGCGACACAAATCATTTTAGGGTAGTTTGTGGTGAAATATGGGTTTTTTAGTGGCACTGAAATCCCTAACTTCCCGGGTTTTTAATAGAACTAAACCATTTCCATTCGATTCCTAGTGGGGTTTTTTTTTCGTTTAGAAATGGTATGAGACATTGAGTTTGCATCTAAAAAGCCCAACCAAATGTATTTTTATCATTCATGTACAGAAAATGGTACTCCTGTACCTGAAGAATTTTAACTCTTATCTTCAACTTTTTGCATACGAGCGGTAATGCAAAATATCGATCATACACCGTCACTCACTTGAGCTAACAATTATCTTCAAATGAAATCATTTAAAATTGTCAGTGACAATGTAAAGGGTGTCCCACATCAAATAGCATAACGGAAAAAAACGCTGTAGGAAATTACCTAGTTCACCGATCCTTTTCAAACTGTCAGACAATAAAATATAACCCATTAGTAAGCTTTTGGCATATTTATTTCATTCAACTTCAATACCATAACCGTACGCTCGCATCTTACGTTTAACTCTACTCATTGGGTTCTGTACAACATCTGGCTGCAGCTTCTTCTGTACGGAAATCTACTTTTTCTTCATGTCTTTCTCAGATTTGCTTCATAATAGCCAAGAATTTTTCAATGGGCCTTAGTTCATGTCCTAGGGTACGAAAGTGACCGCGTTGGCTTCGTACTACTCCAGGACAACGTTAGTGACACGAAGCTAGATCCGGCCAGAAGATCGTAGGGCCCTCGTGTTGCTTCAACAGAGGAAGCAGACGCTTCTGTAGACACTCCTTGAGGTAGATCTCCCCGGTTACAGTCCCGGTAGTCACGAACGGCGCACTGCCACATGAGCAGATCGCTTGCCAAATCATGTATTTCTTGACAAACTTTGAAAGTTTCTGCTTCCTTACTTCCTCCGGAACGGCGCAGAACAGTAGCCCCGAAAGCTGCCGGAAGTCCACCTTGACGTAAGTCCATGAGCCATGATGAGACAATGAGGCTTCGTCAGCATATGGGTGTATAAGTTCCGGGCGCTTGACGTTCCCACCGTATTTTGCCGTTCGTCACGATTTGAAGCCTTCGGCACTTTGTACGTATGCAGTCTCTCCCGTTCCTTGGCTCTCTGAACGAAAGACTTGGACAGATTCAACTTTTTGGCCACATCCCTGACTGAAGCATTGGGATTCCGCTTAAACGCTTTCACGACACGCTTGTGATCCTGATCACTAATAGAATATCCATTATGACCGCATTTCTCCTTCCATTCGATGCTCAGAGTTGTGTAGTAATGTTTAATCACACGACTCACCATTTACTACACGATTTCGATTTGTTTTACGATGTTCCGATGAGAGAGTTGAGGATTTTTAAGGTGATTGCGCAAAAAAATCAGTGTAAACAATACACTCTGAACTACTTCTACCCAAATTTTCAAGATAAAATATCTAATGGGTAATTTTTTACAGCGTTTTTTCCATGATGCAATTTGATGTGAGACACCCTTTAGTCAGTGACGAACATGTGCAGTTTTTCATATTACCAAAATTTATAAAGAAATTAAATCAAAGGAGTCGTTAAAGTGCAGAAGCATCTACGTTGGTATCAGTCTGGATAACAACAATATGTAAATGAACGCACGAAATAACACTTTATGCTACCATTGTCATTGACGAAAGAATGAATGAGATTGCGACGATGGTTTATGTGAGAGTCAATTCTTCCAGTGACCATTTCAAAAATAATTCTGTCAATATCACGTGAAAACTTTCAATGACAGTGACAATTCTCAGCACTGTATACAATTATAAAGGATGATATTTCGTTAAAAAATATCATTGACGTTTACTATGTAAAATTCACCATAACACATTTATAGCATGGCTGGTAGCGATCACTGCTGTCAAAAATAGTGATTTTGGTGACCATGTTGAAGTGTTGAATAAGTGACCAAATAGTGACTTATAGTTATAAAAATAGTGACTAAAATGTGACATAAGAAAAGAAAAGTAGTAAAATAGTATACATGTTTGATGTCTTAGACTTATTCCATAATTATCTCATAAATACTTATGTTCGATATGAACCTTTAAAGCACGGTATTAGTCTTATAACTGCAGAAACCTGGAAAACCAGGAATCTTCTACTGATTTCGATCAATTGCGGTGCGGCTTCTTCCTTCTTCCATGGATGCTCATGTGGGCTGCAGCTCGCTGCTTGCAGGCAGCCTTTCGTTGTGTACAGGAGAACGCCTCCACTCACCACGCGGTGATTGAATAACACCGTTTGGTGAGACCGGATGGAATTCAACTTTGAAATCTGTGTTAAAACGCCTTTCGCTAGCAATCGGTGATAATTTAAATTGTCATAGCAACAGTTGCACATTCGTGCAATTTTCAATAGTGACATTTTGAAAAATAAGACTTAAATTCAACAGATGCGTAGAACTATTTCTGATCGATTGGTGATAAAATTATTGAAATTGGTCCAGGGGCAACTGAGTTATTAACGTCCAAAACCTTTCATAATGTTGTTACATGTTCTATTTTCGGTTTTCACAAAGTGTACCCCCATATAGAAATCACAGTTGCAGTCCTATGTCAAAAACGAGACTTGGAAAGTTTTGTTTTGTTTTTGAACATGCATATCTCCTAGAAATTTTAAATATGAACTACCTAGTTCTGTATTTAAAAGCGATAATACTTCAAGAATCTGGAGTCAAATTCCATGGACAGTTTTAAAAGCTTGTGGAATTTTATTATAATTTCTCAGGACCTCAAGCGACAGGAAGTTCTGGGAAAAAATCTTTCAGAAACACCGGAGGCAAAACAGCCCCAGGCTGAAAACCTCCTTAATAAAGAAAACCTAACCTAACCTCTTTCATAAAAACATCAAATGCAATCTGCTTTCAAGATTTCTATCCGCCAGACTCTCCGTGTACACAGCTCCGCGAATGCTTTGTTCACTGTTTGTAAACATTTGGCTTGTTTTCGTTCGAAATATATTCGTAAATTCACAGTTTAGTGATCCCGTCCTTTATTAGTACCCTGTGCAGTGAAATCGTGCGTGTGAAACTAGTTTTTTTGTGCTTGAGTGGTATTATTTCTTAAAAGTGTTTTGGTCATTCGTGGTGTTTTGTTTTAATTGTACTGCTATACTACCGTCACGTTTTTCGTCTGAAGCGCCATCTGCTGGTGAATAGCGCAATCTTCAAGTGCTTTGCGACGCGCCAATTTGAAATAATTCTGGCAATAGCTGAACCCAGTGTACTTCGAGCTTTCCTTTGCCTACCCTTCGGCGCATTTGCATAGCTGTAGTACTTACACCATCGGCCAGAAATTTTCGACCATGGCTTGTAAAAAGTGCCAGAAGACCGTTTCCGAAAAGGAACGCATTTTTTGTCGTGGATTCTGCGGTGATACTTTTCACATCATTTGCGCCAAGGTTGAACTGGAGCTTCTTGACCAGCTGGGACTGTACGAGAAAAACGTGTTCTGGATGTGTGATCACTGTTCCGAGCTTTTCACTAACGGTCATTTCCGCAACATCGTCAGCCGGGACAGCGCGCAGAGCTCTTTAATACCGGAAGCCGTCGATTCGATGAAGGCGGACATTGATAAATTGAATTCGGCAGTGGCCGCCCTAGCGGCCAAAGTAGACTCGAAACTACCATCCGCTTCGACATCGACATTGTCTTGGCCTAGATCGGATCGTCTCAACTCTAATCGTAACACCCCAAAGCGTCGTCGGACTTCGATTAACTCGAACGATAAACCGATTCTCAGCGGCACGAAACCACCCAGTGAGTCGATTAAAACAGTTAACCAAAATGCGGATAAGGTGTGGGTATATTTATCGGCGTTTCACCCCAGTACCACGAACGAAGATATTGCGTCACTCGTTCGTGACTGTCTGGCACTGGACCCTAGTGAAACACCAATGGTGGCCAAACTGGTACCCAAAGGTAGAGATCCAACAACGCTGAACTTCGTATCGTTCAAAATTGGCGTCAAGAAAGAACTGCGTGACCTGGCACTTTCTTGCGACTCTTGGCCTGAGAGTATCCAGTTCCGTGAGTTCGAAGATTCACGAAGCTTGAAAATCACCCAATTGACGAATGCTGCCCCTATGGAGTGACAGCTTATACTTCCAGAAATTCAACCGAGACGCACCGTAGAAAGCCTGATGGAAGCTCCCAATCGCCCCAACCCAGTCCGGCATATCGCAGCCTCCGTTCATCACAGCCGTCTCGGTGCTGTGGTTGGTGGTGGAAAGGGAGTCTTCCACCATGCTTGCACAGGCAAGTACTGTTTTGATTCGAGCTTTTCGTTGCGTGACGAGTTTTCCCGCACCCAGGTTATCATTAGCTGTCCGGACCATGATGAAGTGAATCCTGTTGCTGCTGCACTTCGGACAAATAGACGCATCGCAGGAACGAACGATGAGTATTTTCAACCGGGACGCACCGTAGAAAGCACTTGGGAAGTCCTCGGTTCCTCTAACTCAGTCGTGCCGATTCCTGCCAGCGTACATCAATGTCGTCCCGGCCCTGAGCTTAGATGTGGATCGGGGGTCTTCCAACTTGCTATGTCAGGCAAGTACAAATATTATTCTGAACATTCACTGCCTGATGCCGAGTCGAATTTCAGCACTCTGGATGTCACCGATCGAGGAAATGCTTCTACTCCTGTTAATTGGAACCTGGGACGCGCTGTAGAAAGCATTGTGGAAGCCCCCAATCCCTCTGACCCAGTCCTGCCATCTGCCGCCTCCGATCTTCATAGTCGTTCCGGGCCTGTGGTTGGATGTGGAGAGGGGGTCTTCCAACCTACTCACTACGGCGAGTATCCACTTGAGATTGTTCATGTCCATTCGCCACCTGATATTTCCATGACTTCCAGGGAAAACGCCTTACCTCGTGCGACCACCGACCGTAGTAAACACGACGTCATTTTCTACTACCAAAACGTAGGCGGAATGAATTCTGGTGTTCTTGACTACCACCTAGCTGTATCGGACCGGTGCTACGATGTCATCGTTTTTGTCGAGACTTGGCTCGATTCTCGAACGCTTTCCATCCAGGTGTTCGGATCCGAATACGAGGTTTTCCGCTGTGACAGAAATCCGAAAAACAGTCGGAAATCTACTGGAGGTGGTGTTCTCGTGGCAGTTCGTTCCGGGTTAAAGGCGAGAGCTATTGAAAACGTCTTGTGGAACTGTGTGGAACAAGTTTGGGTGGCCGTAGAACTGAGCGATCGCACACTGTACCTATGTGCGGTGTATATTGCACCTGACCGGGTTCGTGACAACGAACTTATCGATACCCATTGCCGGTCCGTTTTCACCATAATGGAGAGTGCGACACCAACTGATGAGATAATCGTTCTGGGCGACTTCAATCTACCCGGTGTTTCCTGGAAACCATCTTACAGCGGCTTTCTCTACCCAGACCCTGTACACTCTGTATTTCATACAGGATCAGTTAGCCTTCTCGACTGCTATAGTACAGCAACACTATCTCAAATAAACCACGTAGTCAACGAAAACAACCGTAGCCTGGACCTCTGCTTCGCTAGCGTTCAGGACACCGCTCCTTTCATCTCCACGGCACCTTCTCCACTAGTAAAGCAAGTACATCATCACCCTCCCTTGGTTGTCACTGTTGCTGACAATCACGATCGGGTCTTTGACGACATTTCCACGACCGTGTCATACGATTTCCGGAAAGCCGATCACCGTAGTATCGTCAACGTGCTATCTAGTATAGATTGGGAGAGCATCCTAGATCCTGATAATGTTGAAACCGCTGCGCAAACATTTTCACATGTCTTGGCTTATGTCATTGACAGGCACGTTCCGAAAAGAGTTCACCGTAAAATTTCTCATCCTCCCTGGCAGACGAGTGAACTGCGTAGGTTGAAGTCGACCAAGAGAGCCGCATTAAGAAAATTCACTAAGTATCGTACGCTTTCGCTGAAACGTCACTACGTTAGGCTCAATTATGAGTTCAAGCGAGTTAGCCGTCGATGCTATTCGCGATATCAACGAGGGATTCAGAGGAAACTCAAGTCGCACCCGAAGTCATTCTGGAATTACGTAAATGAGCAGCGCAAGGAATCCGGCCTACCTTCTTCAATGGTGTTGAATGGAGCAGTTGCTTCCACTCCTCAGCAGATCTGTCGCTTGTTTTCTGAGAAGTTCGCCAGTGTTTTCACGAATGAGAGATTAACTGACGAACACGTTACCCTAGCAGCTAGTAATGTTCCACTGTACGGTCAAACATTGGGTGCGATGGATGTCAACGTCGAGATGATTTCCACTGCCGCATCACAACTCAAGTCGTCCTTCAATCCAGGACCCGATGGCGTTTCATCCGTATTCCTGAAAAAGCATTTCGCCAGCTTGCTGATGCCCATGCTTCACCTATTTCGATTGTCCATCTCGAGTGGTACATTTCCATCTTGTTGGAAATTCGCACATATGTTTCCTATCCACAAAAAGGGCAGCAAACGGGATGTGGACAATTATCGTGGAATTACGTCGTTGAGCGCAGTTTCGAAGTTATTCGAGTTAGTCATCATGGAGCCTCTACTCTCTCATTGTAAGCAGTATCTAAGTGGTGATCAACACGGCTTCACTTCCGGTCGTTCTACTTCCACAAATCTGCTGTGTTTGACATCGTATCTTACGGAAAGCATGGCAGAGAGGACTCAAACAGACGTCATATACACCGACTTGTCAGCTGCCTTCGATAAGCTAAACCATGCCATCGCGATTGCCAAGTTGCATAGACTTGGGGTCAGCGGCAACCTCTTGCGATGGTTTCGTTCATATCTCACTGATCGGCAACTGATGGTTGCCATTGGTGACAACCGGTCCAATATCTATCTAGCTACGTCAGGAATACCTCAAGGTAGTCACCTGGGACCTTTGATTTTCTTACTCTACTTCAATGACGTGAACTTGGTCATCGAAGGCCCACGACTATCGTATGCAGACGATCTTAAAATCTACCTACGAATCCACTCGATTGATGACTGTCACTTCCTTCAACGTCAGTTCGAAGCCTTTGCCAGCTGGTGTAATTTGAACCGAATGGTGGTTAACCCCACTAAGTGTACAGTGATCACTTTTACTCGGAAGAAAGAACCAATCACATTTGAATACAAACTTATCGGCACTGTAATCGACCGTGTGAACCATGTGAAAGATCTGGGTGTTATTCTAGATTCTCAACTTACGTACAAGCAGCACATCTCGTACGTTGTCGACAAGGCGTCTAGGACGTTGGGATTTATCTTCAGGATAGCAAAGAATTTCTCCGATATCTACTGTTTGAAGTCACTGTACTGTTCCTTGGTGCGATCCATTCTGGAATATTGTTCTGTGGTCTGGAGTCCAAACTACAACAATGGTGCTGAGAGAGTTGAGTCCGTTCAACGCCGTTTTCTTCGATTCGCTCTGCGGAAGCTGCCTTGGAGAGACCCATTTCATCTGCCCAGCTATGAAAGTCGTTGCCAGCTGATTGATCTGGAGCCTCTCCGAACTAGAAGAGACACCTCTAGGGCCCTGTTCATTGCGGACACTTTACAAGGTAGAATTGATTGCAGTGCAATCTTGGGGCAAGTCAACATTAACGTCCAACCCCGTGCGCTACGTAACAACGTTTTGCTGAGATTGCCACTTCAGCGCACAAACTATGGCATGAACGGTGCAATAGGTGGGCTGCAACGAGTGTTCAATCGAGTCTCGGGCATCTTCGATTTCCATATGCCTCGACAGCTGCTACGAAGATACTTCTCATCGTTCTTTTCTGGCACAGTTAACCGTGAATGATTGTGTGTTTTATTTATGTATTTTATTCTTAGTTTTTATTTTTTGATTTACCTATATAAGTTACTTAAATCATCATTGGGGCTTTACACAGCCTGTTGATGCAGACAAATAAATAAAGGTAGTTTTGAGGAATTCAAGATTTCTTGTAAAGCCTGATGATTTTGAGTAGAAATTCAAGAAACCCTAAATTGAATTGAAAGCAAATTTTAATGAAAACTCTTAGTAATTTCTGAGGAGCACAACTCCTTCAGATGAACATTCCAAGGGTCTTCTGAGGATAATTTCATAAAGTTTGTGGGAGAAAACGAATCCAGAAACCTCTTCAAAGGAATTCGGACAATATATCCAGGAGAGTTTGCCTAACAAATTATGAGAAGAAATTTTAAGGAATTTGTGAGGAGGAATGCCAATGAATTCTTAGGAGACTTTCAATGTAAGTAGAATTCCAAGGGAAGGAAGGAGTGAGATTCAAAAAGAAATCTGAAATGAATTCAAAGAATATTTGGAGAATCTTTCCAAAAGGTTTCTTATTGTGGTGATCAAGATAATTCCGAGGAAAACTTTAAAAAAAATTGAATTCGAAGCTTCAACGAAATGTTGAGGTATATTTCAATGGAAATCAAAATGAACTATTCTGAGGTCTTCAGAACTACTTGAAAGTTCCCAAATTTGTCCTGAAGTTAATGAAACTGCTTTGCAGTTCTTTTTTGTTTGAGAAACTAGCCTGATGCTCACAATACTTCTCATTAAATTCTTAAACTTCCCTGAACTTTATAATACTTCCTAAAGTTTTCTCAATTTTTCCAACGATCAGAGATCTCTTCTTAAGGTTTAGCAATTTGCTGAAGTTCTCTAAACTTCTTTAAAATTTATGTGACTTCTTTAATGTTAACGGAACTGCTCTGAGGTTCTTCGTTCTTTTCTGAAATTTTCAAAACATATCTAAGGTTTATGCAGTTTTCATGAAGCTTGTTGTACTTCACTGAATTTATTGAATTTATTAAAATGTTTAAGCTTCACTGAACTTCTAGACTCATGGGAAGACCTCAATTAAATTTTTTACGTATCTGAAGTTATCTGAAAATCTGGGAACTGCCATAAATTTTAACTAATTTTCTGAAACTAATGGAACTGACCTCCCCCTGAAATTCTTCCAAACTTTCGAAGCTTACCCACTTAACTTCTTTAATTTTTCTAATGTTCATACAAATTCCTGAAGTTCGCGGATCTCCTCTTAAGCTCCATAGATTTCTTTAAAGTTCTCGAAATGTTTCTGACGATCACTGTCCTTCTGCAAAGATTTCAAAAATTTCTAAATTTCTGGAACTTTTGTGCTATTCATGGAATTAGAACGAAATAATTCATACAGTTCTATGATTTTCTCTGAAGATCTCAAGATTTTTCTGAAATTCATTAAACTTCTCTTAAATTATCGACACTCATTTAAAACTTCTTCAATAGTCTAGACTTTTCTGGTGGCATTAAAACTATCTAAACGATTATTGAGTTTCCTCTAAGTTCTCTAGACTGCCCTAAATTTATCAGTATTTTTTAAGAACCCGCAACTTTACTGAAATTAAATGATTTGCCTTGAAGTTTCAACAATTTTCCTTAAGTATTATAATAATTATAAACGCTCACTAATTTTCCCTGAACTTATCTATGCGTACCTGAAGTTCTCTAAATTTGTTTGATAATCCTTCAAATTTTCTGATATATATTCATAATTCAGTGACGCTTCTGACGTTTTCGGATCAATCATAGAACTCTTGGAATACCCCTTCAAATTTGCTTAAGCGAATGGGATTATTCTGAAGCTATCTGATCGAACTTCGCTGAATATCATGAAACCATCTAAAAATATCTAAATGTATTAGAATTTCCTTGGATTTCTGAGGATTTCATAATTTCTCTGAAAGCCTGCATTTTTTTTATTTGTACATCCCTGAATCGGAACATCTTGAGGGTTCTCCATTTTTTTCAGCACATCATGGAACTATCCTGAATTTTTCTAAATTTACGATTAGATAGATCCTTAAACTGCTCCAAAAGTCTGGACTAAAGCTACGGAAACTGCTCTTAAGATCTGAAACTCCCCAAAGATCTCTAGCTTTTCTGAGGTACCTAGAACTTCTTAAAAATTTGCACAATACCCCTCATGTTTTCTACATTTCTCAAATTCGCTTGAAACCTGTGAAGTTCTCTGAAATTCTAGGAACTGCTTAAAAGTTCCTGAAAATTTTCGGATGCTTAAAGAACCACTTTGAGGTTCTGAAAGTTTCCTGTAAGTTTGCCATATTTTTAGCGTATTAACTTCCCTTATGTTCCCGCAGTTTGTTTATGGAGCTTCACTGAAATTTTCAGCATTTCTTTTTATTACTCAGAACATCTCCAAAGTTCCTACCATTGTTGTGAAGTTAATGGGACTGCATTGAAGATCTCTAATCTTTCAAAAAATTAATTACGAACTTGAAATAAATCATTTATTTTTCTTCTTGATTTTGGCACTTTGAAAATTTTCAATATCTTGAACTTGTACATGGAATGCGAAACTATAAGATATTGAATAATTTTAGATCTTGGACTTACTCAAATTAAGTAAGTTTTTTTTTTTATCTTTATAAAGTGAGAAATTACTAAGTGTTAAACTTCAACATTCAAAGGATTTGATTGTAACGCTGCTTCTTTAAAGCTGATTGCCATGT